CCATAAATACACGTTAACTGGAATTGATCACGGACAAAATGAATCATTTAATTTCTGAAGAAGAGATCAACTGTATCACTACAGACATTTTAGCAAAGATTTTTTTTTCCCCTAATGTTACAGCTATCCTGCTTCAGCTGCATTTACATGTAGCAGCAGTATTGCTTTGTTTCTCAACTGGCACCTCCCAGCAGAATTCTCCACCTTTTTTTTTTTTTTTTGTTTCAGCACTTCTGAGCTTAAAGCGCATGAATAATTTACAAAGAATTCCATACCTCTTCAAAGCATTCTGTTAAATAAAACTGCATACTTAATTCTTTTCTTTGCTGATTATCCACAATTAGGAATAATGATTTGAATTGTTAGGGATGATGGTTCCCAAGCAGCTCTGTACCTATGACTACAGTCACCTTCTTGTTCTTCGTCAGACCTGGAAACAAGTCCCAGTATTTGTGCTACTTAGACACAACTTATATTTTTATATACTGCTATATTACATCTGTTTCTATTACAGCGCCCTCAAATTACCTTTACTAGCCAAAACAAAAACAAACGGGCAAAAGACTGAATAAAGCATAAGAAATTCCCAGGCAATCAAAGAAAACTTGTACATGTAACTGAATGCTGTCAACTTCACACAAAATATACAGAACTACAGTCAAGAAGTTCAAATCTACTCTGCCCTTTTTGTTGGCTTTCTGCCGAAAAATTAAGAGGCCTTAATATGTGGCAAAAACTATTTCTCATTTACAGGATTAGCGTAAAAAACACTTGTTTGTCTGGTGCTCATTTACTGAGATTCCAAGATCAGTAAACACTGCATTGCATAGTTAATGTAAATATTGTAGTTGGGTGTATTAGCTTCTTCCTTGAAACTTGTGACTTAAAAGGTCATTGCATTAAAGTTCCTCAAACATTACGGACTTACTAATCTCAGCAGCTTGGTTGCATTCACTGATATATCACAACTACATTTTAAAAATACTATTTTAGACATTTAACATTCAGCTTTGAAATCGAGGACAACCGCATTGATGCGCATAACAGAAGCAAGGTCAAACAAGCAGCCACCATTTTTTGCAGAGCAAAGTCTCTCCTTGGGATGAGCTCAGTCCCAAGAGTTCTATCAAGCTCTAATTCCATCAGAAAAATGTATCTCCTCTCCAAACTGGCAGGAAACTTCCAATATGGGCACAGTTTATACAAAATCAGATCAGGCAATATTGAGATTTACCTACTCCAGAAGATAACCATATTATTTTTGGTGCCAGTCAAAAAATAACATCACCTATTCCAACCAACATGCAACAGGTTAGGTCAGACAAGGGTGCCCAGGAGTCACCTTAAAGATGTAATCTGCACTGAGTACATAATGTTTTGGCCAGGACGCTGAAGGCCTGCATCAGACCCAGGGACTGAACCTAGGCTTGCAACATCCAGCCCAGCACAGAGTCATAGAATCATTAAGGTTAAAAGAGACTTCCAAGATCATCCAGTCCAACCACACACCTACCACCTTTCATTCCATTTATCATTTTCCCCTCAGCCCCCTAAGAAGCCCCTGCTCAATCCTGCCCAAAGCAATGCTCCCATGCTGCAGAGCTCAACCAGCACTTCAAGCATCACAGATCCCCTCTCAACACACATTTTTCTAAAAGTCTATTCCTGTTAAAATGTGATCTTTCACTAAAATGGGAGAAGCACTCAAAAACACTTGGTGTTACAAGGAAGCAGATGAATGGGAGAACAGAGAGGAAATTTCCCCAGAACTGAAAAACAGACACCAGAAAGTGAGACATGACAGTCATACAGCTCTTGGAGCACTTTTGAACTGATGTCATATTCAGCAGGATGTCTCTCTGGCATAGACTGAAACTGTTGCTAATGTACATAGTGAATGACCTTACTTAGAAAGAGTAAGCATGCTGGTTGCAGAAGTACTAAATACTAAAGAGATAAAACACTGCTTCTGCCCCAGAGACACTGTTCCTGTTAAAACCCGAAACACAAAAAAATACAAAAGGAAGAAGAGTTTGAAGAAAAAACCATGACTTCAGTCTACATATTATAGATGAAGTCTATGGTACATTAGCAGCATTTCTAAAGTAATCCTCTAAATAAAGAAAAACTTATGTTCACCAGCATGAAACCCTCTTTCTTTATGAGCCAACATGTGGTATGTGAAATGCAGCGGAGGCCTTCTAGTGTGATACACATCAAGAAAGAGAATATGATTAGCACAGAGTGACTCAGACCATTGGCCACACTGGATTCCTAACAAAGAATCTGGTACAAACATAAATTCAGGGAGAACAAAGTCTGTACAGAGAACTAGAGATGGCTGCTGAAAGATAAAGAACAGTAAAGGGGGTAGTGGGAGGTCAGTTAACTCAGTGGGAAGGAAAAAAAAAAAAAAAGGCAGAGTGAGATAAACACAATTGCCAAGAACAGTATCTAAAACAACAGGCATCCAAGAGAAGCACTGAGTAACTATAGCCATCCCAAGCCAACTAAACCACAGTAAGTATCAGTAAGTTTAAGCTTCTGGACTGAAATCTTTCTTATCTGCCTGTAGTTTTGGAGACTTAAGGACTCCCTACCAATCTGTGATTCCAGAGACAGAGGGGAGAGAGGCTTTTTCTCCAGGGAGGTACCTCCAAATATCATCAACCCCACTGGAACCACCCAAGGGATTAGAGAAAACAGCAAAAGCACAGTTTGGGAAAACAAAACAAAACACAAAGGAAGAGGCTTGAGCTAAAGATATCCATGAAGAAGTAGTGAGGAAGTGCAAGGAAAATGTGAATTAGAGCTACATGTAATCCCACTTTGCAACTATTTCAGGAAGAAAGCAGTGAGTAGTGCAAACACACACCAAAATATGGAGGGCTTCAGTTTTTGAGGAAGATGTCTGTGATACAATTCCAGTCAAAGCGAGGACTCCTGAAGTGTATGGACAGCAGAAGTCAGCCACCTATCATTCAGCTGCCATATCTGCAGCTATACAATTCAGTGAATGACTGTTCTCATTTCCAGCTGGTTTGTGGAGCCAGATGCAATATCATTAAAACAACAATGATAAGCAGCAATCTTCAACTGGGCAAGTGTCACCAACTGCAGGTGATGGAAAATAAGTTTTCTGGGGCCAGCTGGCAAGAGCAGGCTATTGCTAGAAACCTCACAAAATGAAACATGGTCTTGTTTAGAGTTTAGATCAGCTTATAGAAGCGTGCTGTAAAGCCAAAAGCTTGCTGCAGAGGTGTCAGTGATTGGGAGACACTGTGCACAGGGATCAGGCCTTAGTCCAAACAACAGTGGCAAAAGGTAAACTGCAGTAGTCTATACCAGGCAGCTGCAGGCCCAGAGCAGCAGTGGAAACTTGAATACTCAAGACCCTATTAGCTAAACATATACACCAACATCACCGGTGGCAGAAAACATGGAAAAACACTGTCTGGGGCACAGGACTTACTAAAAATGACATGAACAATCCACTTATTGGAACTCTGCCAAGGGACTTGCAAGTAATTTACTTACAGCCATCACATGTGTAAGAAATACTATGACGTGGTGGTACACTGGGAAAGTCTGCGTCCACAGGAGGCCTAGGAACTCAAAAACTTGACCTCAGCAATGTGGGAAAAGACAAGGAATGACTTCCCAAAATTTCTAAGGTTTTTTGTAAGCAAAGATGTAGCACAGTAAAGAGGGAGTTGCAACCATTTGCTACAGAAGAGTTTCTTGAGGAATCAGCAAAGGCATGGCAGCAGTTCCTAGGCTGAAGTATTACAGTTACAGCACTTCTACAGATTTCTTCCCAAACAACTGATTTAGTTTTACAAGACCATTTGACACCTAAATAGTGGGGGAACACTCACTGCTGATACCACACATCCATCTTACATAAAGGCAGCATCGTTTTGTGGTACATCTTTCACTGGTACTAAATTCCTTTTATAACAGAAGAGGATATAACCTTAGTAGGATTTCAAAGATCTAGAAGTGTTACTGTTATAGTTAGTAACAATACACAATAAAATGTCTTATAGCGCTCAATGGCTTTTTGACTGAGCCACTTTTATACTATAATTGCAGATAAATTTAAAAAAAAAAATAATGAAAGAGCAAAAAAATTTATTTTTTAATTAATAACTACAGGGGCGCTATGCTAGAAAAAAAATTGCAGGCCTTTCATAGAATGGTTAAAGGAAACAAATCACAAATCACAAATGTGAGATCTAGTTTGGAGTCATAGGAGGACAATGAGATTATTTTACCAATTTACTTAGGTCACACAGGCTGCAAAACTTTAAAATATTACATAATATATTACATATATAGGCAGTATATGTATCCATAGCCTAGTAAGTACAAGGATAAATGTCCACGCCTATTTACTACAGCATTCTTGCAACTTCTGAAGCAGAAGAATTAAGCTTGTTCTGGTCTCATTGTTGGGATAGATCATAAACTTGCAATTATTCTTCAAGTTAACCAGATAAACACTTTAAATCAAAATACTCAGTACTTCTTTGCAAATGTTTGAATTAAAATGCTACGAACTTTGGTTTCACGTTTCATTTTACGTTTGCACACTGCAAGTTTACTTTTAACAAGTTTACCAAATTGCATCCTCCTGTACTTCATCAGTACAGCATCACAACAAATCACTGCTGGATGGGTAACACGCCAGCTCTTCAGTATGACAGGAGAGGTATCAGAGAACATGTAGAGCTGGGTGTCACAGACATCTTCACTCTGCACTGACTTTGAACTCCTCCTCTTGTAACACACAATTCTCATTACCACACAGTAACTTGTTCTCAGTAGTTACTACAGAAGCATCTCTTAAATACAGTTCCTAAGAGCTATGCTTTCTAGTTGAATGTAGTAACCCAAATAACTGAGCATGCAGAATGCATGAATGCATTGAGAACTCTGAGAATGCAGAGTTCAAATACACCTGAAACACTATATACAAAACAATGATGTTCTGTTACCTGTTGAGATGTTCTGTATGGAAAATTGGAGGGATGGAGTCTCCTTTACTCTTGTACTGTTACTTAGGGCTCCGTACATCTTGTTTAACCACCAGAGCAAAGCAGGTGAAAGATAATCCATATTATCTAGTTTAAAAAAAATAAGAAAAATCAAACATCCTATCATCAACTGTTGTGTTTCTTTTCTGCCATGAGTACATTAAATTCGTTATTTGAATTTTATTTTTATATGCTAGTAGTAACAGTGGGATATTTGCCCAGAAAGGTTGTGGATGCTCCATTCCTGGAGGTGTTCAAGACCAGGTTGGGTGGGGCCCTGGGCAACCTGGTCTAGCACCAGATCTGGAAGTTGGTGGCCCTGGTGACAGGGGGTTAGATCTCGATGATCCTTGGGGTCCCTTCTAAACCAAGCCATTCTATGATCCTACAGAGTAAGAATGAGATACAATTAGCACTCTATTGTGCTGATGCAACTCATGATCAGAAAAAAGTGCAAGAAGTCTGGGTCACCACAGTATACCACTGGATATCTCACTCTCATCCATATTCCATTTTCCACACCCACTGCGTAACAATCTGGACTAGAGGTTTTCCTAACCAAGCTTGATTTTTCTTTAGTGCTTGCAAATATTTGACAAATACCTTGAAGAAAATACATTAGAATCAGAGACATAGAATCATGAAGGGTGGTAAGGATCTCTAAGATCACTACATCCAACCCCAACCCATCTCCTTCATGCCCACCAACCACATCCCTCAGTGCCACATCTCCACAGCTCTTGAACACCTTCAGGGACAGTGACTCCACCACCTCCCTGGGCAGCCTGTTCCAATGCATTACCACCCTTTCAGAGAATTTCTTCCTAATTTATTAAATTGAAAGAGGGCTTGTGATCACTGATTGTTCAGGAAGCTTTTTACTTTGATCGTTTGATACTTGTTGCCACTGGTGTGGTATGAGAGAATGACCACCAAGAAAAAGAAAACAACCTGGGTGAACTGAGTTAGATCATATGGCTCCCAGAATAAATCGACATTTGGAACAAAATTCCCAGTGTTTCATAAAATGTTTGAAATGAATTGAGACTATGCAAGAAATGATGAGAAAGAAACAACATCATAACACAAATACTATAACTCACGCTGACTGTTAGAAAAAAAACAGGAATGAGATGTCAAGAAAAAGAAAATAAACATTTTTGTTTTCTGGTTAACGTGAGGATAGGAAACGTACTGATGCATTTCTTTAAATGGAGATAATGTTCTACCAATCACAACCTGTTTTCCTACAAAAGAAATTAGATCCTTTCCTGGGGACAACAAAATAGGAGATAAAAAAATTAAAGTCTTACATCTCAGGAACAAAATATTTTATTCCCTTTCACTTTAGGAACACTAACAATATATTCGATTTGAGACTTTCTTCCCCCCAAGTGCTGGGGGAACACGCTGTGAAGGAGTTTGTTCATTAGGTTGCAGAAAGAGGCATTTTTTCAACTGAGGGGGCACTGTCTCCCATGGAGCTACATAACAAGGCAACACAGAGCCACAGGACTGTTATCTATCCCACCGATTGAGTGACTTGCTGTATGAAATTCTTCCCCCAGGCAGAATAAAAAGATGGGGCTATTTTTCAGTCTCTTTCTTTTGGCAATTCATTTTCAGTGAAATGCTTTCTTGTTGTAAGCAGAGCCTTGTGGTGTGCCCACTCTGGTACCAGCTGTTCACTGGGCTCTGTCACAGATATCATTGATCCAACAGAGGGAAGATGGGTTTTGGACTCTGATAAATGAATAGCAGCAGTCAAAGATGTCACGAGTGCCCTCCCACTAAAAGTTACCGAGCTGGCTCAGCAGGAAATTGTGCCTCAGCTGCTCTGGTTTGCAGACTTCGATGTCAAAGTCCCACTCACTATAAGCTCTCCACTGATGCAAAAAGTGCTGGTCTGAGGTGTTCAGGTCACAGTGCTCCAGCAGTACAGCTGCAGACAACAAGTGATGTCAGGATCATCTGACACAGACACAGCCAGATTTGCTAGAAGTTGTTTTTCAGAGAGCTCACTCTGTATTCTGAAATGACTCTTCTCTTTCCTTGTTCTCCACTTAGAGTAAATAGTGTCTGGCTCCCAGCACTTTTACAGGGAACATGAATGTGATGCGCTTCCCAGAGTATGGGTAATCAACTGGATGTTTCCATGGGAAAGGTAAATGTGGTCCTAAAGTACATTAAGAGAGTTACTCCAACACTGATTTAATAGACAAGCTGTTCTGGAAAACATCTGGAAATGTTGTATCTACATACATGCATGCATACATATTACTTTGGTTATCCCAGTTGTTTTTCCTTGGTCGTGAATTTGTTCTGAATCTTAATAACATTTTGGTAAATTTTTGATTTGAATATGAATTTTATGATGGGATTCTCAATATACACCAAATTCCCAGTCTTGAATATATTCTTATAGGAGAAATGAAGGCATGAATTAAGATTACTGCCAAGTGAGGGAGCCTCACAAGGAAATAAAGTGAAAGACTTTTAAATTTTAATAATATTGAACTGATGAAGTGTAAAATTTACCTTTCCCCCCCCCATCAAATTGTGGGAAGAATGCTCTTAATATCAACAACCCCAGTCTCTACAAAGATAAATAAATAAATACCAGTTTTCAAACACCATATGCAGAGCTGACAAAAAATGGAAAATTTGTGATAAACTGCTGTGAGCTGGGACACAGAATGCATTCCCAGCAAAGAAGAAGCTTTTTATTTGTTTAAAAATAATAATATTATTACTATATGACTGCAGTAGAACACTCAGGGGGTTTCAGTAGCAAGATACTAAAAAAACAAAAACTATGCAGCTTAAAAAACCTCTCATTCTCCTCCTGAAAGATCATTCTTGCCTGTAATAGACAAGCGTGAAATAAAATTGCCTTATGAACCTCGTCATAGCGTAATCATTGCTTTGGTCTTTGTGACAAGATGTTATTTAGCAGTACACTGCATTTATTCTAGGGCAGGTGTCAAAGACAAAGAAAGCACTTCTGAGAGCTATTAAAATTAGATGTGCATGTTCTTCACTCCCACTTTCCTTTCCCCTTTCCCTGCAATAGTCTCAGTATAGAAGCATGCCTTCAAACTGTACATGACAGCAAGGCAAAATTGTCCAGTTTTCTCTGAGCCACATGTAGGATCACTGTCAAGCATTGGAGGGATCACCTAGGGTTTGTTACATCTTTTGAACTGGATGACAGGAACTGCGTAGTCTCAGTATTTCATTTTTCATTTCTCACAGCCACAAGAAGGACCAGATGTACTTTAGGAAGCTACATTAGGGATCCTAATTCAATCAAACTCAGCCAACATACAAAAGGAATGTATTCAGGGGGAACTTTCAATATTTGTTCTCTTAGTAAATTAGGGCTTTTTTATAAATTCTACAGCAGCTTTGGAAGAAAGCCAACATCGACTTCAGGTATTTATAAAAATGTTTATAGATATAGCAATGAGACACTGCAAAGCCAGCTTTACAAATAAATCACCATTGACTGAGATAGAGCATACCTACTTAACAGCAAGGACCTCATAGATGATGGTTTAAAAAGGTTAATAGTCATCTTTTCCCAAGAAAAGAGTATCACATAACAGGGTTTCCTCACGTATAGAGAACAAAAGTTATTCAATCTGGCAACTTAAAAGCTATTTAAAATGCTAATATCTATATAAAAGTACACATTTAAACAGATACATGTCATATTCTTAACACTAGGACAGCAACAGAAGTGTCAAAATGCAATCTCTAGAAATATTAAAGGAAACACGATAGTAACTTGCCCCTCTGCCTCATTCAAGCAATTCTTTCAAGCTGGTTTTCTCTGACACCTGCAATACTCAGTGATAAATGCTCTTCAAAGATATGGTGTATAAGTACCATTATGTGTACGGGGCTGCTAAATCATGGCCTGAACCTCTGATAATCACCTCAGGCAAGCAATGAGTCAGCCATGGGAGCACAGGTGAAGGCAATTCAGCTGTGCTGTTTGAAGGGGTGGAGCCTGGCTGCACCTCTCCTAGTACCATGTAAGAGCTGAATGCCAGGGGGGAAGGATCTCTGCTAGAGATCTACTCCACCAGAGTTTACCATGCAAGCCCAGGATAGGGCGAGTATCCTTCTTTCCTACTCTAGTATAATAATTACATCAGCCAAGCTCCTGGATATACTACATCATCTGTCTTTCACTGATTGTACAATTATAGCACACCTATCTCAGAATTTAGCTATCAAAAATACAAAAAGTTATTGCTTCACTTAAAGAAAAAAACAACAACACAATTTAACTCTTCAGAGGAATGATCAGCTCAATGCTTGAGTTTATCCACCACACATCACCAATTTTTTTATTATACTTTGCAGTTTTAGCAAGGCATGGAAAAGCATTTGCTTGAAAAACGCTCCACAGATATATTCTTGCTCTCTATAGGAAAACTGCCTATTAAACAGCCTGTATCTATGCCACCTGAAATACTGCATAGCCTAGTAAAACTCTGAGATGGCACAAGGACAGGAGGCAGCAGACATGGTTGCTTTACAGAATCACAGAATTGTAGGGGTTGGAAGGGACCTCCAGAGATCATCAAGTCCAACCCCCCTGCCAAAGCAGGTTCCCTACAGCATGTTTGGATCATCCAAGAAAGTTAACAATCGTAATCTATTAAAAAAAAAAACTTGCTTACCCCTTTCCAAGGATCAGGGCTCACCAAACACTCCAAAAGAGAGAACCTCCAAGTAGAGAACTTTCCCCTGCAGCTGCCAGCCCTTAAATGAGGTTAGAGAGGGGTGGACTCTGGGTTTTTTATGCATCTGTTGGGAATTGCTTGCACCTGTGCTCCTAGGGCTTGCTACGCCCTTTTACCAGGTGCTCAATCACTGTTTCAGGCCGTGACCTACTGCTTCTCATATAGATGGCCACACTGATTCAGATTAAAAAGCAATTCTATCTCATCTTTGCTCTGGAGCTGAGGAAATCAAATTGCTTTTGACAGTATGAAATTTCTCTGGTGTGACTCTAAGGCACTGTGCTCACCTCTAAGCATTTCCTTGACTGAAAGCCACATTACCTCGCTGGA